TAAGAGGAAATGTACCCTAGTGAACTCTCTCCAGTCAAATGGCCTCTCATTCACATCCAGCCTTCTCACTTAGTCAACTCAAGTCTCTACTCCTCAGGCTTTTTATCTCAGACTCAATCTCTTTGTTCCCCCTGCAAGACATCCTGTCTAGTTCCAGTCTCCCAGTGTGCTTTTGCTCTTTCAGTTTCCTTTGTGCAGCCATTCCCAGTGTCTTAAACCTGGCTCTTGTTCCCCTATAGCTGAATCAAAAAAAATCCTCCTCTATCACCAGAATAGTCACTGTGATCGCAGAACAGACATTATGAACTATGTACTCACTATGCAGCCCAGTTTACATCATATGCACCCCTGTCTACAGCAGTTAGAAGTAAACTTCAGAGAGAAAATTCAGCTTTGCTACTATTTCTCCAGGTTAGAAGATGCATGCTCACTTAATGTGCAGTCCAGATACTCACAGGAACTAAGGGGTAGAGAGTTGTAACGACCCCCTTACATAAGGCTCCAATACATAAGAAGGGGAGAAAAGGAGACAATTTCTTTAAGAGTCGGTGCAAACTAGGCCCTGACCCTTTTTGGCTAGCTATATAGACCCACAGTCAGATAAGCTAGGCAGCTGCCTGCAGGATGGTAAAGGAGAAGGAACCCAGACAGAGTAGGAGCCTAGACCTAGCCGGAATCAGGGAAGCCAGGGAGATGGAGGGCAAATCCAGGAGCTAGATAGTGAGCGCATCAGACAGGGCAAACTGGAAACTATTGTTTGTGAACCAGGGGGAGAGCACTAGCTTGGGACTATTGCTTGTGAAATAGAGTGAGGCTTGCAAGTCTGAAATTGAGTATTTTCCAGACCAGAGGGCATTGGTGAGAGCTATTAGTAGGCAACAAGACTAAAAAGACCTGCTGGATGCCCGGGCTGGCTCTTGGTAATTTAAGTTATTGCAACTTGCCCTTTAACTTCTGTGGGCTGGTTAAAGACCTCAGAGGATCTGACAAAAACTAGAGGAAGAAGACCCACTGAAAAGGAATCTGGTTGGGAGCAGCAACCCTGGGGAACCAAACCTAGTTGGATGCTGAAGGGCACCCAGTGATGAAAGACTAGATATAAGGCACCAGACTGCTTGCTTCCCTACCTGGGACTGAGGGACAATACTTTTCCATCATCAAGTGCCCAGTCAGTGGGAGATAGCAAGCTAGGCATGCAAGTGAGCAGTTGAGACCCCAGGGTCACCCAAAGATTGAGGAGTCTTGCCCCAAAGCCATTAGAGGGTATAGTATGCACAGTCTCTGTGTAGGGATGGTACATGTACAGTTTGGTTAGCACTAGGAGCTAGGAGAGGCTTGACGATGCTTGCTGAGAATGGAACATTGAAAAATTTTAGCTGTTAAACTCTAGCAAGTATCTACTGCTGTGTAAACTGTGATTTTTTTCCCAAATTTTTATGATTCAGCCATGATTTGGTAGGTTTTCACAGAGATATAAACACTCCCATGATCTATGGCCTTTATCAATTTACTTCTATTTTCTGTCCCAGTATGTAAGACCCTTAGCTAAAGAGATCTTAAATCTACCCTGAGGAGATAACTAACTCTGGTTTTGTTAGGGGAGACAAGACACTCAAAATAACTATTTGCTCTTTGTAAAATATTTCAATAGATACTGCTACTGATGGTTACTGTATATTCTGGGATTTTATTGGCAGTGCTAGTTTTACAGAAAAATCTCTACAACAACTTCAACCTGAGTGCAGGTTACTTTAAGTCAAAAGATACTGCTTGCTGTTCATGAAAATGAAACACATTATTTAAGCTGTATGCTATAAAATAGGAAACGCTGGGTACATCTACATGAGATGCTACGTTGCCATAGCAATAAACTACAGCGACATACCTCATCACTGTAGTGATGTAGTGTCGGCAAGCACTAACCATGACCCCACCAGTATGTTGCCATAGCAATGAGCTACTTTGCAGTAGATCATCACTATGGTGATGTAGGGTTGGAAATGACTCATGCACTACTAATACTAAAAGCTAAAGCAAGTACTAATTGACTGCTCAGTACCAACTGGCAGACAAAGTTCTTTGTGTAAATCTGATATCTTTTATTAGACCAACTCAAATAGTTGGAAAAAATCTTCTTAGCAAGCTTTTGGGCACAAACACCCTTCATCAGACTGAGGAAGCATTTGCAGATGGTCTGTGCTCTTCCTGGATGGAGTGGTAAAGCAGCCAGAGGCCAGTATGTATGCAAGAAAGCCAGTCAGTTAAAATGTAAATTGAGGTGGTCAGTAGGTGCAAGAGAGGTGGGGGTTATGGGAATGAATGTAGTTGTAGTTAAAGGATGAGAGACAGGAGGAGAGGGGAGGGAAGAGGATGAGAATAGTTGGTAAAAAGTGGAGGGTTTACCTGGGGAGTCAGATGTTAGGCAGGTTATAATGTGTCATAAATCCAATGTCTGTATTTAGTCCATGATTTTTTGTATCCAGTAGACTGATGAGGTGAAGTTCATAGGCTCGTCTATGAAAGGTATTTTGTAAATTCCCTTTGAGGATTAGAACTGAGAGATTGGAAAGAGAGTGGTTTTCTCGTGAGAAATGTGCACCTACAGATAATTGGGTATTCTTGTTTTGACAAAGGGTGTTTGTGCCTGAAAGCTTGCTAAGAAGATTTTTTCCAACTATTTGAGTTGGTCTAATAAAAGATTTCAGATTTACCCCAAAAAACCTTGCCTGCTTATGTCCTTAGACCAACATGCCTACAACCTACACCCCAGTACCAACTGCACAGTCAGGGCCAAGTGTAGATGAGCTCTGTATGTGTTAACGCAAACAGGTCATCAACACATAAAAGATTATTTTTCTTACTCCATTTTTCATACATTTTTCACAAACATTAAAAACACACTCAGTTTAATTTCAATGATGAGCTGCCCCAGTTTTCAGCCTAAACCAGCAACTGTTACTACTATTACTACTAGTAAAATAACAACAACAATTATTATTATTATTATTGCTACATTTCCTGGATGATCAATACTTAAGAACGGTCCAGATTCCTCAGAGTATTGTAACGTTATTTTATATCACATTACCTACATTAAGTTATATTTATACGTATTCTTCATTGAAATTTTCATTCATCCTAGCCATGGGCCTTTTTCCTATTTAAGTCATAAAAACTAGCCATGAAACCATGACCCCATAAAATCAAAAGCAGAACTCTCATTGATTTCACTGGGGCCAGCATTTCATCCTAGGAATCTGAATTAATCTGTACCCAACTAACTCTGGTTCAGATTTTACTTGCAGTTACACATATGTGTAAGCTCCAGAACTAGACCTAGAGGGATGGAATGCTGGTTTCCATTTCTGAAATGGCCATGAGTGCCACTTCTGACAGCTGGCTGTATAAATCCAAATATTTCCAGTGATACCAATATATAATTCAGATCTTTACATCTTTACTTAGCCACTGGACAAGAGAAAGCAGATAATAGTTAGAAGAAAGCCAGCCTGTGGCAAATACGGTTGGTGTTTTCCTGTAGTCTCCAGGAAGTGTATAAGAGGCAAGGATCTTTTTATGATATCTTTTATTGGACCAACTGTATAATTGGGAGAGATGTTGGAAAAGCTTTTGGGCACTCCACTTTACGATGGTGTAAAGGCAGAATGTACTGGTATAAATTTGTTGCCTGTCCAGAATCTTTGATTCCCAGTCCAGTTCTGGGAATTAACTTGGTTTCTGCATCAACAAATTCAAATAATTCTAGTCTGTAATGTTTTCCTGTTACAGGAAATATTAGCTTTTAACAGATTTAAGATTGCATCCAATTATTTTGACCTAGGGAATCCTACGTGACAGCACAGCCCAAATACTTCAAAGAGTTAATGACAAGTTTTCAGCAGGCACAGTTTTCCCTTCCAAAATGATCAGCATTTTCAAAAGCACTTACAGTCTCCAGTACTCTTCTCCATGTGATTCTTAGTGCAATATGCCATTAAGAATATTACAATATATAAAACAAAGGACCATCCCCCCTAAAATTCAGTATGTGAAACTAAAACTTGCATGGGAACAACTGTAAAACCTATCATCTTAATCAAGTATATTAAATAAGATTAAAATAGAATGGAATAAAAATTAAATTATATCTATTTCAATCACATAAAATGAGAACTCTTACCTTTTTCACTAACACTTTCACTTTCAATCTCTACATCATCACAGCTCGTATATTCTGGAGTAGAAGCCAACTCTTCTTCTGAGCTGCTCAATGAAACCTGACGCATTTTACCTCCCTTTTTTGTTTTATGGGGCTTTGGTGGTGGAGGCCTAACAGATTCAGATTGGTCTGAGCTGAGTGAATCATTCCTTAACATAGTTTCCATTTTTTCACGTTTTGTTTTCCGTACAGCAGAATTAGGATCCAAATGGTGTTGCTTCCTTAATGAATCAGTGCGTCTCATATCAGGCCTATCCAGAGGAATTGGACTCCTCCTAGGAGTAGGAGGACTATGATTTGTGGTCCTCTGACGATTGGGACTTGGTCCCTGAGCCTCTCGAGTTCTTTCCATAGAATATGAACGCTGATTTTCCATGGCAGCCCTGCGCTCAGATATAGATCTTTGTCTTGATGGTCGTTCCATCCTCAGCATAGATATCCGGGAATCTTCCAATTCAGTGTTTGCCAATGAGACATCACTATGTCTTCGTTCATGGCGTGCTCGGGACACTTCAGCATGGATACGCATTTGTTCCTCATATGGTTGTGGTTTGACTGGATAACGAGCCAAATTAGGATCACTTCGGTATCGTGCCTGATATTCCTCTTCCCGCCTCTGCCTTTCATATTCCTCCCTGTTATGCACATCATCATCTTCTACAGGGTACTCTTTGGAACGTCTGCGAATTCTTCTGTTGGGATCTCTGTAGTCACCATGTTCCGGTTCTTCATATAGCTGAGGCCCACGTTGTGATCGCCTATCTGTATAATCTGATGGTGACCTTGGCATTGCACTGTCTGATGTTGCATGCTGTGAATATTCGTCCCTCTCGTCCCTTTGGTCGTATCTTCTGTTCTGATCTCTTGATATCGACGGGCTTCTTTTCCTAAGAAATCAAGACAAAAAGAAATAAAACAGTTCTGTCAGCAAAGCATAAACACATCTGCTACCAGAAGTTTATTAAGAAAGTACAGTGTTCAGCTGATTAAAAGAGAATAATTTTGTTGGCTCTTTCTAATATTGAGTGTGCTTGCACATTTATTTGTACTAAAGGGAATATGCTATGCTGCATATCAATTAATGGCTAATAATCACTTCAGCAAACAATAACTTTATGGAAGAAAACATTTTAATATTGCAGTAAAAATATATTTTTTTAATTTACAATAAATACTAACACCACCGTTACTGTTTTTGCACACATCCCATAACAATATACATATTTTATAACTCCTGGAAAAATATTCAAGCTAATCTAAACTGACCTTATGCTGTTATTTCATAAACTTCATGGAAATGAAGGCCAGAAGAGATCATTTAGTCTGACTACCTATTTGTAATGGACCATTAAGTATCACTCAAATACCCAATAACAAGCCCAAAATTACTTATTGCTATGAAAAAAATGTCAATCCTCCTAGACTCCAGTGTATACCACAGAAGACCAAGTTACAGCCAGCATGCAAGTCCCTTGAACTGGCAGAGAATTGGTTAGGTGGGATATACCCAAATGGTCCCAGCAGGCATGCAGAGGAAGGCAATAAAAATCCACAGACCCTGGCAATCTGACCAGAGGGAAAATTCTTACATCCTTACACCTGATGCTCATTATCACTTTTGAGTATTTAAGCACAACAAAGAAGTTGGGATCTTTTTGCCAAAAAACCCTGTTTTCTTTGAGGCCGATCTCTCTTCACCACCCCTCATGTGGTCTCTCTTACCACCCTTTTGTGGGGCCTCACTCATACCACCTGTCCTTTCCCCGGGGCCACACTCACCCTGCCCTCACACAAGAGGGTCCTCGGGCTTGCTTCTCTGCACTCCCCAGCCAACAAGCGCTTGGCCTCTTGGGCATCTCCTGCTGCCCTCATCTGAGTGAGCACTGGGCAGTTTGCAAACCACTGCTTTGGCTCTGGTCTCTCACTGGGTCCTTCACCCAGATGCTCTCAATCAGGGGTTCTTGACTCACCCTGTTGTTTGTCTGTGGCACTTCCTCAGCCACCCCACTCCACTGGCCTCCAGTCCACCTGTGGCCTCTGGCACCCAAAGGCTTACCTGGACCTAACTTGGCCCCCATGTTAGCAGGACCTACTCTCAAGCCCCCTGCTCACTGGGGCCCACTTCATGCCCCTTCCTCACATGGCTTCATCTCAGGCCCCCCTGTTTGCAGGGCCTCATTACTCCCACTCTCTACTCGCCCCTCTCTCCAGGGCCTCCCAACCGCCATTCTGATGCAGGCCACTAGGTGCCCCTCTGCACCCCTACCTCCACTGAAGCACCTACTCTGCCCCCTACACTGGGGCCTGGGGTTGTATACCCCCTGCAGGCTCAGGTGCCATTCATCAGCATGCCTGGCCCACCCTTCTCACTCTCCAGGGTCCTGTACCCCCCTATCCACTCTCTTGAGTCTTGCACCCCACACAGGCTCAGGTGCCACACCAGGACATGTCTGACCCTCTACTACCAACAATGATAAATAGCCCACCCAAAGTTGGGGGCTGGGGTTAAGGCCCTCCTTGTCTTTCACCAGGGAGGTAACTGGCCTGGCATTTCCTGGGGGCTTCCAAGCCACTAGGACCCCAGCAAGCCACCCTTCCCTGGCAGGTGCAGTTTCAAATCATGACCAGGACCAAGAGCCTCCAAACCTTCCCCATAAGCTCCTTCCCTCACCGCCAAGTTGTTGCAAGAGCAGCAAGTCCACCAGGTGATGTTACTTTGATGGTGTCAGGCAGCAAACTGCTGCCTCCAGCTCTGCTGGCCTGGATATAAAATGGCCACTCAGAGCTGGAGCAACACCTACCCCCAGATCTAAAAGTGGCAGACACCCAATGTGTTCTGCCACCCACCTTCCCCCTTAAACTGGTTCCTGGGGGAGGCTTTTCCCTGATGCTCTGCAAGCAAGCTCCCACGGAGCTTGTAATAGCCCCATAATGGTGAGCACTCCACTGGTGCTCCACCACATACCTTCCCCCTTAAAAAAAATGACCCTTGGGGTATTTTCTGGCTGTCTTCACTGCTAGCTATAGATATAGTTTGTTGTGAGTACTGACAATATCTACTATATATTGAATTTGCTAAATATGGTATCCATGTTTTAAACGCCCAGAACAACTGAAACATTTTAGCATCTATAGTACCTATCACATTTGTAGCCAAGTCATTTTTATTACAAAGCTGCTGTTATTTTTAGATCCTAGAATAATTCCCACTGACCATCATGAGCCTCTGCCTAATCCATTCCTTACTGTTAACTACCTCTTAAGGTGTCTCATAAAATCCTTTCATCACACTCCATGAACTAGATGCACCAAGGAAAATCATTACTCATGCCCTTGAAGAAGTTTACTGGCACATTCAAAACTGAAAAACTTGGAGGATGTGCCAACAATGTTGATGTACAACATGCAACTTTCAGCTCAACAATGCAATATATGTTAGTTTTCAGAACACCTGCTGAACTTCTTGTAAAGGTCACTTTTAATTTTAGGGTTAGCAAAGCTGCTTTGATTTCTGCTCCTTTGAATTAGTGATAAAAATAAATATCTAATATTTATACAGCACTTTTCAACTTCCAATTACTACAAAGATATCTTTATGCATGTGAATGATAATTTATATTATAAAATATATAAAAACTATAAATAAGAAAGCAGTTTTACAGATGTGGAAACTGAAACAAAGAATAAACATGAGCAGCAAAGAAACCTAATCCCTTATGATCTTCAAATATTGTGCTCACATATTTTAAAATTTTTAATTCTTTGTTTTTATTTCTATATGCACATGTATTTTTTTGGCTCACCTTTTACCTTTGTTTTGGGAAAAACCTTGTTTACAGTGCAGTAATGACAACACTAGTATTATAGAAATGCAAGCAGTCCACTGTAATGTGCATGTTATCTGTTCAGATAGTCAATTCATGAAACTCTCCAGCCTCACTTCATGTTAAAGGATAAATTAAGAACTTAAAGCAAGGTAGAGAAGACAGGAATAACTTTTCCTGCCTTTGTGGACAATAATTTCAGATGATAGAGCCTTAGCCTGCTGAGATTCTCCAACTTCACTTGGATTCCAGAAAATAAAATCTAAAGTTCTATTTCCATATTAAAAAAACCAGTGCAGGAGTTTATGGAGAAACAAAATATGTTGAGAGTAATTTTCATCAAATTGGAAAAATACCTTGCAGTTTATTAAACCTTTAACACAAATGGTATCCATGTCACAGTCAAACTTGGTTTTCAGTTCTTTCTGGATCCCAGTTCTGTACTCAAACCAGTAGAATGCAAATCAATACAACTGCTGTCATATTTGTTTGCACTGCATACACAAAAGTAAATGTTCAAGAAGTTGTGCTACATGTGTAATCAGTAGAGATATCCAATTTTATCTGTATATACTTTCAGTTTTGATACACTTGAGCTGTTAATTTATGGCTAAATAATTTAGTAAATAAATAAATACTTGCGTTGGCCTAATCAAGTATTTGCAAGTACAGTAATAACTCACCTAATGGATGGCGTAGGACTTAGAAAAAAGCATTCTAATGCTTTGATTTCCATTTCCTATTAAACGTATTTGAAAATTAAATTTAAATATTCCTATCACATGAAATGTAAGAGAATTTGAAAAGTGATGGGTTCACCCTGTTAGGGATTTTAGCTGTGTACTTGTTTTTGTGAAAAACTATTTTTCTTTTGATTTTTAATGATGGTAAGTGTTTCAGAATTATAAGCATGACAAACTCTCTTTAATATTTATGAAGCATAAAAAGGAATTTATTGAGAAAGCTCTTCATGTTGACAGTTGTCTCAGCATTAGTAAAACTAATCTCACTTTTTAGTTGTAGAGATCATTATTTTGTATAAAGGGAAAAAACTTATTCGGAGCCACGTAACCAAAGCATCATAAATGAGAACACGACAAGTAAGACATTGCATACAAGTCATAGCTCATTATAAAATTATGTACAAAAAAAGCTTTTAACTATTTGCAAAATGTGATATTTTCTGTACACAAATGAGTCATTCTGAAGTGGTATGAAAATTATACTTGCTAAATATTTTCCACTGGCAATCTATTGTGCAAGCTGTAGGAGACAAAGCTTATTATGCAACCCAGTATAAGGGACCACCCAGGGAAACCCTGAATACAATGAGCACAATTCTTCTTTTGCCTTATTAGAAAATTTCTTGTTAGAATATCTATGTCAGTTGGTACTTTGACAGATCATTTTAGAATGCTTCATTTCATTCAAAGATATCCAGATAACTGAAGATGGAGACAAGTCACTTATTGGATTTTTAGAAGCACTATACATAAAACTTTAAATCAATGGGATTGAGAGGAAGGATAAGACAATCACAAAACACATCTAAAAAGGGCCAAATCCTGTGAGAAGTGGGGCTAGAGAACTCCAAGAAGTTGTAGTTCAGGATCCTAAAATGAGAAAACATTTGGTCATAAGCAATGAAAGGCTAATTACACAACTGTAAGGTGCTGCATCCCCAGAAGCCAATGACAGGCATGGGATTTGAGAGGGCTCAAAGTCCTACAGAACTAGACCTCAGATTTGCAGGACTCTGCCTAATACAGAAGATCAGGCTGAATGATCAGTCTGTTCTATTCTTCGATAACAGGATTCTTTCATTTAAAAAATTCTTTAGGTTTTCCTCTCACCAGGGCAAATCAGCAAAAGTTGGCAGTTCCTTACTGTTCAGTAGGCTGGGTCTCTACTCTTTTACTCTTTTCCTTCTATTCTGCAGACAGTGTTGTGGAATGCTGAGTCACACCCCACGTAAGCAACCATTTTGTACACGTTTCTAAAAACAGACACTGTTTCTGTGTATTCAGAAAAATAAGCTTTTTTTTTTGCTTTAATTCCTTTCA